AAACTTCATATATCAAGAGTCACTTCTCAGAGAATTTTTTTTTCCAAACAGCTTAATGTATACAGAAAAAAAAAAGAAGATATTTTATTTTTTTAAGTTTAAAGGAATGCCCTACCTTACTCAAGAACTGCTGGCAAAACCAACTGTAGCTGTATTTGGACAGGCAGGAAATGTAAGGAGGAAAAAAAACATAAGCTTATTTCCTGAAGTATACAGTGTGGGAAGATGGAGTCTTGTGTGAGAGAGACGGGGAAAAAAAAACAAATATAAACACATCCTTTTAGGTTTCTGAAATCTAAACCACTAGGAACAAGGAAAAGCCAATTTTTCAGTAGTGCAGATTTTAATAGGGCAGCCAAATACAAGCTAATTTTCTGTGTATTTCTAGAGAAAACAGGACGAGTTTTACAAATTAGAGGACAGTGGAGAAAGGCTTTTTATTATTTGTTTTATGAGTGTGTATTTATCTTAGTATAATTATAAAAGTTTAATTTCTCAAGCTAGTAATATCATGTATAACATTAAGACTGAAATAAAAGTTTAAAATAGTAACCACATAATAGTTGAATATGGTATTCTTTTTTTTTTTAATGTTTTTTTAAGGATTTATTTTATTTATTTGAGTATACTGTAGCTGTTTCCAGACACACCAGAAGAGGGCATCAGACCCCATTACAGATGGTTATGAGCCACCATGTGGTTGCTGGGAATTGAACTCAGGACCTTTGGAAGAGCAGTCAGTGCTCTTAACCACTAAGCCATCTCTCCAGCCCAAATATGGTATTCTTTACTGTGACAAGATCATTGTTATGGTTCCTAACTGGCCAAAATCTTGGAAACAATGAGAGGAGGAGGAGAAACTGAAGCTGGACAGTAACAATTTGTAACTGAGGTCTCAACACCAAAGCAAGCATAAAAGCAAAGCCTTCTTCAAAGCCTTCTTTACTCTATATGTGACCACTTTCTTTCTTGTTTGCTTTTTGTTGTTGTTGTTTGGTTATTTTTTGTTTGTTTGTTTTGAGACAGTTTCTTTGTTGTAGCGCTGGCTGTCTTGGAGCTTGCTTTGTAGACCAGGCTGGCCTCAAATTCACAGAGATCCACCTACTTCTGCGGACAAGTGCTGAGATGAGAGGTGTGCATGTCACCACCGCCTAGCTCTTGACCTTTTTCAAACTATGATTTTCTTTTCAGGTTACTGAGTGTTGCTCAGATATTCTGACCATGCTACAGATTTGAACTTACTGTGTATTCTCTTTACAGGAAAGCCAAAAAGAGGGCAGGTTTTCCCCTGAGTGTATGAATATTAGGTCAAGGTTTCTTTACAACTCACTTCCTAAGACTTCCCCTTCACTAAACAGCTGCAGAAATAATTAGCCTAGCTTTTTTTTTTTCTTCAGAGCAGAGGCCCCAAAGGCAGGTGATGAGGTCAGAACTGAGAGCTTAGAGGAAAGCACATCAACTGGGAGATGTTTCAACCGAACCCAGTGACCATACGGCCCAATTTTTCTTCAACACCCGAGAGTGGGGCAGTGTCATTCCTCAATGGTCATTCATGAAGTGAAGTACAACATGGAACCAACCATCAACATTGTAAAAACGCAACAACTGCTCTTTTTAAAAAGCCACAAGCAAATTATTAGCATGTCCGTTTAAAAATCAGAATAGAAATTAAGAAATAAAAACAAAAAGTCCAATAAGCTTCCAGCCAGCACTCTACCATCCAACAGGGAGTCACCAAATTTCAAGTCCTAACTAACTTAACATGAAACAGTCACAGATATGAAACACTCCACCCCTACAGAAGGACATACTACACTGCTCAGTCCTACACTAGAACCATGTCATACACAGCAAACTGAGTCCTTGCTGAAATCATACAAAACACTACCCTTTATTTTCCCCGGTGTAAATGTAATTCTCCATTCTATTCTGCACCCCTTTTGCTCCCAGGTTAACTACAGGGCGTTTGTATGCCCACTCTAGCCCATTTTTAGCTCCCGAAAAAATGGCTCGGAGACCTAATAAATTTATTAACAAGCTGCAGGCACTATGCTGGGCAGATACTCATCTATTCCAACCCTCTTGGGCTGCCTACTTCCCAGCCACATGGTCCTTTACCTGCAGTCTGCGTCTTGCCCTGGCTGGCTCTGTTCCTTGCATGTCCTCTTGGAGACTCCCAATGGGCTGTGAATCCTCCTGGTCCTTCTCCCTTCTTCCTCTCTCATTCTTCCCTTTTCGATTGGGACCTCCTGACTGGAATCAGAAGTCTCCTGCCCTATCCTCTTCTGCCCAGCTATAGGCTGAATCAGCTGTTATTGATCAATCAGAGGTGATGGAAAAGAATTTATACACACCACTGAGAAAGGAGATGCTCCAAATATCATGATGATACCGACGTCCAAACTGCAAACAGATCTCTGGGCACCTCAATCAACATCTGAATACACAGTGCACAAAACCATCCCCCAATACCCAAGAGCTCTGTAGACTTCAAAAAGAACCTGCCTATAAGTGATGTAATACGTATTCCTCAGAGAGTTTCATGATATAAGGAATGATTCTCCTCTAGGGGAATGAAGAACCCAGGTGCCCACAAATTAAAAAAAAAAAAAAAAGCAAAAAACAAAAACAACAAAAAAACACCTATTAAAACCAATCACAGTTCCTAAGACACTAAGAACACCATGACTACTAGAGATTTTCACTTAAACATAAACCCTTCCTTTTACCAAAACCTCAGCAACAAATACCAGCGCTGCATGGTAAAAACGCATTCTTGTTATTCTGCATACTGCCGGATTCCTGAAGGAATAAAGTACACAGAAAGACTCAAACCCTCAGTTCAACAACAAATGAACATCCGCTCATTTTCCCCTGCTGTTTTCTAAGATGTCAAAACCATCTTTCTGTCTCCTCCCTCTTTAGTGTCTCTGTGTTAATCTGCTCATTTTCTACTGGGAAATGGCAGCAAACTCCCATTTTGAGCAGTTTTAAAGTTTCATTCCAAATCTATAAAATCCTTGTCAAAGTAGCATTCCCACCAAGCTTCAGAGATGAAGCTGAAGTCCAGGCCTGAGTTTATCTCAAATGCAGCATTTCTAACATGTGAAGCAGACCTGCAAGGCCAAGGACGTTTTAACAGTGTGTGTGGCTTATAGTCTGGCAGTAATAGCTGCTTCCAGCTCTGACAACCAAAAATGTTTCCAGATATTGCCAGATGTCCCCCGGGGTGTCAAATTGCCCCTAGTTAAGATCCACCACTCTAACCCAAGGAGAATCCTTGGTTATCTCGAGTATTATTGGATGTTCAGTCAAATTCTTGCAAATGTGACCTTCACCTTCACATTCAGCCAGATATTTGCAGAACTTCCCGACCAACAAACATTATAGAGACAAAGTGTTAAGAGCACTCTAGGGATATAGTAGAAAATAGATCTGATATAAAACAAAAGCACTCAGGTATGTTCACCACAAACACATGAGGAAATAAAAAACAAGTTAAAGTATATGTAATTTATAAATATTGGCACATATAGGGGACAGATGTTTATAAGACATACCTCTATAAGGGCTTTTATGCTTAATCTTTATAATCTTTTAGAAAGTACACTTAATTTTTCCCCTTTTCTTTCTTGGTAGCGCTAGCGCCTAACCCAGAGCCTCACAAATAAACTCTACCACTGAGCTACATCCCCACCCTAATTAGAATTTCTATTACCATAATATCAAATACATGTTAGCATTGTTTAACACAGAGCACAAAAACTTAAAAATAGAAAAGACAAAATGTGTTAGGATGTTTTCAACAAAAATATAGTCACTAGCAAGAGTTAAGTGATTCACAGCTATATATGTGTGTGGGGGGCGGGGGTGCTCATGCACCATCATACAACAGGGGCATGTAGAAAAGCCACTACATTGAAAGATACAACCAGGAATACCTTTTCTAGCAATTTAGCTGTGCTAAATCAGACTTTAATCTCCTCCTAGACAACTGCTTTGTAGAGCAGGCGTCTTGGGTTTCACATCAAGTACTTTAGCCACAGTGGCTCACAATCCTCCCACCAATGCTGTAAGGCACAGGTACTTTTAGTACCCACATCTTATAAAAGAGGAAACTCAAGACATGTTTAGAGAATTTAAACCAATTGTCCAAGGTCACTAAAAGTGAGGATTCACATTCCAGCCAAGCATCTGGGACCCAGAGCGGAGCCTCAGTCACTGTACTGTATGATATCTACTTTGAGATCTCAAAAAACCAGTTATTCGCTACTTAGTGAGACCGGATCTTTCCCCCTCTAAAGTATCCTTTTAGTCGCACTCCCCTGGGATGCTCACAAGGCTGAAAGGTAACCGCCTAATAGACTGTGCCTTTAGCCTTTGGACACTTCAGTAAATTCACACGAAGGAACTTGTGTGGTCTGAAATGGAGACACTGGCCCAAGCAAGAGGAGGGTGGGTCTCGGAGAATGAGAGATCAAAATTTCTACTGCAGTCTCTAGTTCCGCCTTTCCTTTGACTGCAAGGTTCCTTCGAGACCTCCAAGTCTCCCTATCCTGGCTGCTTTCCATCTCTCCCACTCTGAAGGATGCAGGGGACGGCGGCTGGGCGCGGGGGGCCTATGCTAGGGAAAAGCGGAGTTCTGAGTGAGGAAGGCGGGCGCCCCGGCAAACGCCGGCAGGAGCGCGCGCTAAGGCAAGCGTAGGGGACAGAGGTGGGGTCGCGCGGGGAGCCAACGACAGGGGCGGGAGGAGCTCGGCGGGAATGGGGTGGGATGCGGACCCCGACTGACGCCAAAGAGGCGCGGCGGAAGGAGCCGGACTGCCAACCCGGGTGCGCCGAGAAAGGAAGCGGGACTGGAACCAGTGCATTTCCAAACGGAGTAGAAATCGACCTCGAGCGCAGCCGTGGGCCCCGTGGCGGTGAGGACACGGGTCGCCCGAAGTGTGCGGCCCCGAGCCGAGAGACACCCACTCTTCCAGCGCCCGGGCCTTGCGTACCTGAGGCTGCCGCCTGGCTCTCCTCCACTCTCCGTCGGTCCCCGACGCCGCCCGCCGACCCTCGGCGAGCTGCGGGGCTCCAGAAGGCCGGCCCCTCAGCTGCCTGCCTGTCCGACATCTGCAGCCCGCGCGGGGAGCGTCTCCGCAGCAAGCCGCTACGGCTCCGGAAACAGCCGAAGGCGAAGCGAGCGCGGCAGAGCGGAGCCGAGCGGAGCCGAGCGGAGCCCAGGGCCGGAAGGAGCGGCTAGGCAGCAGAGGGGTCGCTCTGGCCTGACCCGCGAGAGGTGCGGGGGCGGGGAGGTTACTACGTGCTTTTGATCGCCTGTTTTTACGGTCGGCACTTGCAACGATCGACAAAATCTCGGGAAGATTCAGGAAAACACCGCCGGAAATCGTGGTATCCATAGAGACGGTGTCGGAAGTTGAGGTTGCTAGGAGGCCTTGGTCGCATCGACTGACATGTCTGAAGTCCCAGAAGATTTTAATTCTGACCCCGATGAGAGTCTGCAGCTTAAAATAAATAAATCTGGTAACTTACATAATGCTAACGCAGACACCATGTTTAAGGTAAGCTCTGAGCTGTCCCCGAAAACTGACCAAGGCCCAGGAAATGTGTTCCTAGAGTCAAGCAGGACACGCAAGGCAGATTTGGAGGGGCCAGACCTACAATCACCAGACGTTTCAGTAGGTGTACACACAAATACACAGCTACCAACAAAAATAGATCCAAAGCAGAAGACACCAGATTCTCAGAGTGAAAAACTAAAAAAATCAGTTAAAGAGGAAGATCTACCTCCATCCAAGATGACCAAATTGGAGAAGAAACAAAAAGAGTCAGCTGAAGAAAAAAGGGCAGAGCCATATGAGGTAACTAAACCTAAGTTCCCAGACCGGAAGCTAAGAAAGTCTACTGAGGAAACAGGTCTCAAGCCATCAGAGGAGATTCAAGTCAAGTCCACAGAACAACCTGAGCAGATTAAGTTCTCAGACAAGAAACTAAGACAGTCAACTAAGAAGAAACTCTCAGAGCCACTGCAGGATTTTGGAGAAGAATCAAGAAGACCAACTGATGAAGCAAGTCTAGAACTATCAGAAAAGAGAACATCAAAAGCTTCAAAGAAAGCACACAAAAGCTCTTTTGATGACATTTTTCCAGAGATGCTAGAAGAGATTACTCAAGGCCTACTAGAAGAAATACAATCAGATGTCCAAGTGGAGACAGAAGAAGAGTCAATTAAAGAGAAAGTTCCAGAGCCATTAGGGGACAGGAAGGCAACAGCTCAAAAGCACAAGCTGAGAAGATCAAGTGGAGAGTCTAAGCTAAAGGACACGTTAATAGAGCCCAGAAAGGACAGGGATCCAGTGCGGCAAACACAGACTGAGCCGGAATCTCCAAAGGAGAAACTAATAAAATCAACGGAGAAAACTGGTGCTGAGCCACCACTGCAGGTACCTAATCCAGACATTGAAGAGAAGTCACAGCCAAAACCAACCAAAAAAAATCTAGAGTTACCAAGCGAACCCCAGCCAGGAGAGAAGAAGACAGAATTTCCCAAGGAAGACAGTTCAGAACCAAGCAAACCTGAGTATCCTGCAGACAAAGATGAGCTAGTATTCTCTGACTATCACACAAAGTTGTTAGAAAAAAAACCTACCAGGATTAAAACTGACTTTGTAGTAAGATCTCCTAGAGAAAGTGGAGAATCCTTCAGTACAGTTTATGAAGCACATGAGTTCCTTAAAGACCTTCAGGCTGATATGAATGAACTCTTTCCAATCATTCCTGCTTCAGAGTCTCAGATAGAACTGAGGGATTCTATAGTTTTATCCCAGGAGGTGGCGATACTAGGACATAAAGAATCCCAGCCAAGTCTTAGCTCACAGTTTGAGCACCTCAGCTGGAGCCCAGAAAGGGTTGCAGAGTGGATTAGTGATCTAGGCTTCCCTCAGTACAAGGTAAAGCAATGTTTTTGAAGTCGTATGATCCAATCCCATTTTTCTCTATACTGACATGCTCTCTTGGCCCTAACAGAGAAGTCTTAGACTGTGGGGGAAGTCAATTTTAATTGTGTGTGTCTTTTTCTGTCTTGTGTGTGTGATAGTAAAGATAGGACCTAGTGCATTAGCACATGTTAAATGTTAAACATGTTCAGTCTATAATATATATATTATATATATATTATATATATATAATGTAAATATATATAATATATAAATTATTATTTTAGAAAAAAGTTACATTTGATTTTCTTATTTATCACAAATATTATATTTCTCTTCATTCCTTGTATAGAGGTAAAAAAAAATGTATAGACTCCCCTTTGCATAGAAATCTATAGTTTTAACATATTTTGTTCAAAATTAGGCTTTTCTGCCATTCTGTCAAGATGTCTCAGTGGCAATGCCCTCACCCTGAATTTATACTGTTTTTAGCTCAAATATGTCATATGTGTCATGAGCACGTAAGAGTATTAATGCATATTAACTATCCACCCAAATTGGTTTATCAAAAACAAAAAAGTATGCTCTTCTGAATTTATTGAAGCGGACTATGGCATTAGGTTGTCACAAAACAGAATCTTAAACCTTTTGTGCCTTCTGTATTTAAAAATGTCTTTGTAACGCTAGCACTCAAGAGACAGAGACAGGCAGATCATCAGGGGTTGGAGGCCAGCTTGGGTTATAAAGTGACTTCCAGCTCAGCTGGAGCACAGAGTGACAGCCTTCCTCCATCCTGCCCTGACACACCCAAAAAGTCAATGTCTCAAGGAGAAAACATTGGTTACAACATACAACATGCAAAAGCAGATTGAAGCCACAGCCTGGAATTTAACCCAACTCTTCAATAAATAAATAAATAAATAAATAAATAAAGCAAAAAAAAATGTGGTTTTGTCTCTTTTTTCTTCCAGTTGCCATAATACATGTTTAAGAGATGTTCTTCTTGCATTGATAGGAGTGTTTTACTGAAAACTTTATCAGTGGTCGAAAACTCATCCACGTAAACTGCTCCAACCTGCCTCAGATGGGAATAACTGATTTTGAAGACATGAAGGTGAGTTGTGTATGAGGTTTCCCTGTGCCGAGTGCTGTGGCAGTGCTACTCGCTGCCTGCCCTGTCTTGCCCTGTTCTGGTCCATTCTGTTATCATATGCTCATCCCTCATACTCGCTGTGGTTGCTTCCTCCCTCTGTCTGGAGTGTTGCTACCTCCTGTAGCACTTGCACTGTCTAGTGTTTTACTGCCTCATACCTAGAACAAACACCACAGTAGCTTACCCCCTTCCTGCCTTTAAGCCTGTGAGACTCAAGGGTTCTGCTTTTAGGCTCTTGGTTTCCAACTACTTACACACCGTTAAGCCCTCTCTGATCTCCCTGGTGCAAGATTGCCCCAACCCTTGGTTTAGGATTCCAGGTCCAGTCACCATTCTTTCCTGGTGCCACTCCTCCCCCTGAATCTTCTCCAGCCTGCCAGGTCTAGCTCCCAGCCTAACTCATAGCCTACTAGTGCATGCTCCCTCTACTGGAGATCTTTGCAAAGTTCCCCTTCCCTTGAATCATGCTTTCAGACCAATTCTTCCTCATCTCCACAGGAAGTTGTTCTTGACCTTGCTATCCCAAAGTAACCTCTCTTCCAGAGCTCTCGGTAACATTTTATGCCTTTGATACCCATTTAGTACTTATCTAATGTCATCTGTACTTCACCTAGTTTGCTGCCAGGAGCACCTACCGTATCACACTTAATTTCCTGATTTGCAGTCCCTGGAATTTCAGGAATATTAATTTGCATACCACATTATTGTAAAAGATCCCTTTTCCATAAATTTATGAGTATGTCACCCACAGAAGGGTTAAAGTCCCCTGTTTGCTCCTCTGGTCCCACACAGATAATCCATTAGACACATTGTCTTATTCCTGATAATTTTCCAATTCCTATAAATTGTGTGTATACCTTCTGAGGTGGCTAGTCTGGATTCCAAGACTTTGGGGAAAGTATACTAACATCAGCTCTGGTATCTACCAACTCTTCCATGTCAACACCATTCTTTCATTTGCACTATTAATTTGAGTCTCTGATCATTCACCATTGTTTGCCAGAACACACATTTTCCAGTACTCCCAAAAGCCCCTGTCCTTTCTACGGTAACGCCCTTTTGTCCTTAATGTATGGAAACAACAGTCAAGCACTTCTTTCTCCTGCATCAATTTGCATCTCCTTTCTCACATAGGCCATGATTCTAATTTCATCCTTGTTATCCCTACCTGCTATACCAGGATGCACAATAAATCCTTGAGACATTAACCCACTTCTTCCCATGATTATTTCCACTGTTCCTGAGGGTAAAAGACCATACACACCAGTGGTTAGCTTGTAATATTCAACTTTTGGGGATACGTTAAAAGCATATCTGTGGCCAGATCCAAAGCTACACTCCCTTCTATAGCATGTATGAGATCAGAAATACTAAATTTTCGTTTTCTTGCCACCTTGGTATTTTCTGGCTGACCAAAGGAAGATGGTTAGTATTGATTATTGCAGAACCTCAAGCTGACAGTCTCCTCTGTTTATTTCCTGAGGGCAAGAGGTTACCTCCTGTGTCCCTCTTGGACCAGCAATCCTTTGACTAATGTTTGCCCTTTCTAAGGCAGCTGCAACACCCTGGAAACCTTCGTTGTTCATAACAGCCAGAACCTGCTTTTTCTCTCTGTGAACACCATATTCTCTATAGAGTCAATGGACCTGCTATTTTAAGCTCTGAATCTTCTAGCCTTACAATGTTTTTGTAAATGGCCAAATTCACCACAATTAAAGCATCAGGCATTTTGATTTCTAAGACTTCTAACTATAGCTTGCCCTATGATATTAGCATGATGTTCCTGAGAACCAATACCAGTTGTCTTTTTTATCCATTCATCTTTTGGGACTCCTCATGCTTTCAATGGTCTGATTGCTCTCATATATTCTGTATTTGTGTTTTCAAAGGCTAATATTTCTATCAATGACTATCTGTTTCAGGGTCTGATATAGCTCTATTTATAGCTGAACCCAATCTCTGTAAGAATTTGGCAAGTCCCTGTATTGCCTTCATAAATTAGGTAGATTTTCACCCTGGCTTCTCAACCAAATCTCAGGCTCTTAAAGCTGCAGCACAACATTGTTCAATTACACTGTCACCAGATGGGATTTGTTCTTGTAAAGCAGCATAATGCCCTTCACCAAGCAGTTGGTCTTTAGTAACATTTATCCCTCTCACTACATTCTGTTATTCTATTTTTGTGGCTTCATGCCTCCACCATGACAACCACTGTAATTGTTGTCCAGCTTCTAGAATAGCTGATACCAACCCTTTCCAATCTGGGGGGATAACCCTATTCTGTGTAGTCCAAGTATTTAACATTTCTTTAAGAAATTGAGAGTGCGCCGGGCGGAGGTGGCGCACGCCTTTAGTCCCAGCACTTGGGAGGCAGAGGCAGATGGATTTCTGAGTTCAAGGCCAGCCTGGTCTACAGAGTTCCAGGACAGCCAGGACTACACAGAGAAACCCTGTCTCGAAAAACCAAAAAAAAAAAGAAAAGAAAAGAAAAGAAAAGAAAAGAAATTGATAGTGCAAGCCGGGCTAGAGAGATGGCTCAGTGGTCAAGAGCACTACCTACTCTTCCAGAGGTCCTGAGTTCAATTCCCAGCATCCACATGGTGGCTCACAACCCTCTGAAATAGCATCCAGTGCCCTCTTCTGGTATGTCTGAATACAGCTACAGTGTACTCATACACATAAAATCAATCAATAAATATTTAAAAAGAAAGAAAACAGAGTGCAAGCCATACGATACCACAGACTCCTTAAAATTCTTTACATCTAGCATTTGTATTGGATGCCGGTTCAATTCATTATAGGCAGAAGCATTAGCAGGCATATGCTGCATAAAGGCTGGGAAGGCTGAAGGTGCCTGTGTAGGCCCAAGCAAATCCTCTGGTGGTGCACTCGCCGAACACCATCTGGTTGAACCTGGACCATTTCCTGCTCTTTCAGGCCCCTGGTTTCCTGAAGGTACTTTGGGCACCTGGCAGTGAGAGTGCGTGGAGCAGGTACATAATCTGAGAGGACCATGCCACCGCTAATGTCATTGCCCTTCATGTCATGTCGACTTCCAGAAAGTGGTGCCACTCCCTGAATTTAGGGTCCTTCCTGCTGGGAGCATCCAAGTCTGTGAGAACCAGGGTGTAGCGTTTCCTTGGGTCAAGGCCATCCATGCAGCACTCCTGGGCCTATTCTTAACTTAGGTGGGCTAACTTTGCCCAGCTCATCCTCCACCACAGCAACATGCTCTCGGGCCACTTCTCCACCTCTTACAAGGCTCACTGGCCAGGCCCACTGGCGGACATTGACAGGCTTGGCTTCGGCAAGAATGAGGACAAAAGCACACGGAATCCCTAGTGCCACGAACCCAAGTCCTATTTGTAACTTTCTATGACAGTGAGAAACATGGCTCTTTCCATCGATAAGCATATTCCTTAAGAGACAGTTTTACCTTGTCCTGGCCGCCATTAGAGAACAGCAGCTCTGGCCCTGTGCTATCCCATGGCCATGGGCCTCAACAAGGGCCACAAAGTGATGAAGAACGCCAGCAAGCCACACAGCGGGCGCCACGGGCGCCTCACCAAGTACACCAAGTTCCTGCGGGACATGATCTGGGTGGTGTGCGGCTTCGCGCCATGGAGTTGCTCAAAGTGTCCAGGAACAAGCGCACACTCAAGTTCATCAAGAAGAGGGTGGGCACGCACATCCGGGCCAAGAGAAAGCGGGAGGAGCTGAGCAACGTGCTGGCAGCCATGAGGAAGGCGTCGGCCAGGACGGATTGATTCACTCTCCGCCAATAAAAGATCATCGTTCCGCCGGGCAGTGGTGGCGCACGCCTTTAATCCAAGCACTTGGGAGGCAGAGGCAGGCGGATTTCTGAGTTCGAGGCCAGCCTGGTCTACAGAGTGAGTTCCAGGATAGCCAGGAATACACAGAGAAACCCTGTCTCGAAAAAAACAAAAAAAAAAAAAAAAAAAAGATCATCGTTCCTATGAGAGAGAGAAAACTTTAACAAATAAGGTACAATGTTTATATACACTTGTTTTTGTCTTTAAGACTTAACAGTGTCTATATGAAGCTCTACTCTCCAAAGGTAAAGTAACCCACGTTAGCCTCTTTCCTTCCTACCACTTCAGAGTAATTCTACTGTAAGTTTGTAATGGCCCTCATCTATACCCTATTGGCCCAACACTTGACTTTTCGCAGTTTCATGCGGTAAAGTTATCCTTAGTTCTGTGCGATTCTGTGGATGTTAATAAGTGCTTAGAAGCATGTACTTACCCCCAAAGAATCCTATAAATCAGTTCCCTTGAATTCAAACTTCCAGGTCCCCATCACCGTCAGCCCATCCTTAGTCTCTGAATCTTGGCAATAATCTATTTCTCCCTATTAATTTTGTTTTTCTTCCAAAATGTTGCATAAACGGAAGCTGGGTGTGACTCACACATGCCATCCCATCACTCAACAGGATGCAGCACTTGAGAATTTTGTTTCCTAAGGCCATTTTAGCCTATTAAAGCTCTTTTATCACTTTATTCTCTCATTGAAATAATTTAAGTAATTAGTATTCAAGAGACATGGAAAACTGAATTAAGCTTTGATTTCCTTGTATTTTCAAGTTAGTCTCACTAAAATATCCCTTTTATTTCAGACAATATCGCACTATACCCGAGTGCTTCTGGGGATCGAAGAGCCTCTGTTCAGCCGCAGCATCAGCCTTCCCTACAGGGACAACATTGGCTTATTCTTAGAGCGAAAAGGGCATAGTGGAGTAAAGTCTGATGCCTTGACCTTGTCAGAATTTGTTGAAGCATCAGGATTACAGGAGTATAATCCAGAGATAAATGCTGTGGAGAAGAATGAAGACCCAGTGCCAGAGAACAGCCAGGAAGAAAATGAGGCAAGATAACAGGTTTTGACAGCACGAGGCAGTGCTAGACAAGGAGCAGTAGGAAAGCCATTCCCCTTAGCTTGAAAGATCAAACTAGGGCTGGGGAGATGGCTCAGCAGTTAAGACCACTCGCTGCTCTTCCAGAAGACCAGGGTTCAATTCCCAGCACACATGGCAGCTCACAACCATCTAACTCCAGTTCCAGGGGATCCACCACCCTCACAAAGTCACATATGCAGGCAAAACACGAATGCACATACAATAAAAATAAATTATTATTTTTTTTACAAAAAGAAAGAATGATCAAAGTACATTCCCTTGGGGTAGAGGTATGGTCTTTGTCAGTTTTCTTTCTCTCCTTTCCATTAAGGATGAGAGTTAGAACTGCTGACTCCAGTCTTTCTTCTTCCTGACACTCAGCATCTTCCCTCTGTTAAAGAGAGTGGCGTTTACCTTACTTGATAATTTTCTGATCTTGTGTTAAATTCTAATACACCTAGTACTACGATTTGTTAGGGGAAAGTATAATTGAAAGTTTCAGCAAGGCGTAGTACATAACTTTAATCCTAGCACTAGGCATATGGAGGGGGATGATCAGGAATCTGAGGATAGTCTGAGGTACATGATAAGTCTCAGAAAGCCACATAACTAAAATGGTTTTTTAAAACTCTTGCAGGGATTCTATGATACCACTTAAAGATGAAGTGGGACTTGGCAGCCACGCTGCTGATCTGGGGTCGCCCACACACCTGTGTGTTGAACTGCCTGGACCTGATGACCCCTGGCCTACAACAGCTAAGAGCACGTCTTAGTCTGATTGCAAGGATTCTGAGAATAAAAATGAAGATAGAGGCTGGAGATAGTGCCGCCTGCTCCTCCCCTGCCCTCTTCTAGTGTCCATGAGCATCTGACAACTGTGGTGCACACAAACCCATGCAGACACGATACATAAGACTTTATGAAGTGGAGCTTAAAACAAAATATCAATTTCCAGAGTGTTTGTCTCCCCAGTTTACCATCTGACCCAAAGGACAGCACAGTGGAGCCAGGAACTGGAAGAGAAGAACATGAACCAGGTAACTAGTGACATCGGTGAAAGAACAAAGACGGCCTGAGGACAGTGAGCATAAGCAGCTCCAGGAAGGAAGAGCAGAGCCCGGTGATGAGAATGAGTGTGGGACTGAATGGATGGGGGCCTTCCACTTACCTACATTGGAGTTAATGAACTATCATGGGCTGGAGATAACTCAGCGGATAAGAACTGACTGCTCTTCCAGAGATGCTGAGCTCAATTCCCAGCAACCATATGGTGGTTCACAACTAGCTACACTGTACTCATACACATAAATTAAATAAATTAATTAAAAAGAAGTCTGTATACCAAGATGGCTGCCATGCTAGGTGTGATGGTACCCAGCTTTAATCTCAACCTTTGGAAGTCAGAGAGAGGAAGACCAGCTTCATATGGGATTGGGCTGGAGGGATGGCTCAGCCATTAAGAGCACTGAATGCTCTTGCAGAGGTCCTGAGTTCGATTCCCAGTAACCACATGGTGGTTCACAACCATCTGTAATGGCATCTGATGTACTCTTCTGGTGTGTCTGAAAACACCAACTGTGTACTCATATACATAAAATAAATCTTTAAAAAAAAAGAAAGAAATCACAAGCAAGCAGATAAGAGAAACAGCTTTGTTGCAGCCTCGTTCCAAACCAGGTGGAAAGAATCAAGGATGTGGGACCATGCAGATCAGCAGAGCCAGCTTTGGAACAGACAGAGGGGAAGCACAAAAGGCCTAGACACACATACTGACAGAAAGGCAGCTGAGAATTAAGACAGAGTCTGCAGATAGTGTTGCCTTGTAGCACAAGGTGGGAGCATGGCAGCATCCAGGCAGGCATGGTACAGGAAGAGCTGAGAGTTCAACATCTTCATCTGAAGGCTGCTAGAAGAAGACTGCCTTCCAGGAAGCTAGGAGGAAGGTATCTCAAAGCCCACACCCACAGTGACACACCTCCAACAAGGCTGTAGCTCCTAATACTGCCAGTCCCTGGGCCAAGCATATTCAAACCACCACAGCCTCCACGGCATCTGCAGACAACACAGCAAATGCTTGTATGCGCACGCAAGTGCGCGTACACACACACACACACACACACACCTCTTTTTTTAAGTGCCTCCTAGTTTAGTAAGTAGTGGTTGTGAGGAGAATATGCCTGTGAAACGCTTGTCTGGGCTACTGTCCACCTTTCCTGGAGAACCCAGATTTGAATGCATCTTTCAGGTAGACTCCTGGAAAGTGTGTACCAATCATCTTTCTAAGGTTTGTTTAAGAGACAATAAGTTAGGCTTAGAAAGTAACAAAGTGAGCCATGCTTTAAACATATTTGGAGGGAGTTTCTGTAATACACAAAGTTAAAAAAAAAAAAAAGACCTGAGAAGCAGATACAGCTGAAAGATCCAGAAGCATTTGATCAGTAAATGAGAAACAGTCTGAATGAAAATGGAACCTGGTATAAAACACACCTAAGTCTCGTGAGCCAAAAGGCTTACCCACTTGGAAGGAAAGAAGCCATGTGACTGAAGGGAAAGGACAGTATTTCTACACTTTACCAAGAAACAAAACCAACACAGGCCTTGTGCCAGAGGCCACCCCATGTTTGTAGCAAGCACTTCCAACTATAAATGTGGGAAGCCTGAATTAGAAAATGGCAGTTGTTCTCCACACGGTGACAGAATACCAGAAATGTGTCTAGATAAAGAACTGAGGACACTGAAACAAAGCTGTGGTAATGTCCATAATGTGTTACACAAAGTCTGGCCATAGAGAAAGCTAAAGCTAAAATTCATATCTCTCTCTCTCTCTCTCTCTCTCTCTCTCTCTCTCTCTTTTGGTTTTTCGAGACAGGGTTTCTCTGTGTAGTCCTGGCTGTCCTGGAACTCACTCTGCAGACCAGTCTGGCCTCGAACTCAGAAATCCGCCTGCCTCTGTCTCCCAAGTGCTGGGATTAAAGGCATGCGCCACCACCGCCCGGCTCGCTGTTGTTTTTTTATTTTGTTTTGAGAACCATATAGTTCTGGCTGTCCTGGAACTGGCACTGTAGACCAGGCTGGCCTCTAACTCACAGAGACCAAGTGCTGGGATTAAAGGCATGTACCACCACAGCCTAGCTGGATTCATCTTTTAAAAGTCTGTCAACTTTCAATCCTAGAGTTGTGGGAGGTAGGGGAGGGGGAGCATCCCAGAAGACTCCATCTCTCTCTGAGGATTTATAGGTCTATATGATTGTTACATGGGGGCTGCTCTGGGAGCCTCACCCCTCCCTGAGGTTTCTGGAGGCAGTTAATATTTACCGTGGCGGGGGAGGGGCATTTCCATCAGTGGTATAGCCTCTGATAAAGTTGTCCATGCACAAGAAATAGCTCCTCACCTATGTTCTTGTAAATAACAGTAATTAAACTCATTTTAAAAAGCTAAAAAAAAGCCATTTTATTTTTTATTTTTTATTTAATTTTTAAAACTTATTAAATTTAAATTTATTTAATTTTTTTTACTCTTTTTGCCATTTTATTTTTAAATAAGCATGAAACCATGACAACACAGCATATGCAAGCAGCTAAAGGATTTGCAAAGACAAAGGAACTAAACCCAGGCCCTCTTTAGCAAAAAGTGTTTTTAACCACTGAGCCATCTCTCCAGCCTCATATGTACCTTATTTTTAAGGACAGGGTCTCTCCCTAGACTGGGGCTCACCTCATAGCTTAAGTTGACTGGTTTCTGTCATTCCTACGCCAGGATTACAAGTGTGCCTCACCATGGTTGGGATTTTATGTGGGTTCTGGGGATTGATCGAAGGTACCTGTGATTGTACCATAAATTAATTTTTTGATTGCTGGGACAAAATACTTGACAAAAGTAGCCTGAGGAAGGAAGGGTTCATTTTTGGCTCACAGTTTGTGGGTCCAGTCTATTATGTTGGAGAAGTCAGAGCAGCTGGTCATATTGCATCTTAAATCAAGAAAAGAGAGGTTGTATTCGTCCAGACCCCCAGCCCATTCCATGGTGCTGCACAAATATAGGAACCTTTACTACTCCAATTCTCAAGTCTATTAGCCTAGAAATGCCTCACAGGCATGTCCTGACCTGAGGCTTGTTTCCATGGTGATTGTAAATCCCAAAGAGTGGACAAGTTAGACATCACGTAGAGGCACCATATTGACTGAGTTATATCCCCAGCCCTAACTATTACATTTTCTAGGGCATAGTTGTCAGGAAAAAGAAGGGAGATGTTTTCCTTTAGACATCAGAGGTGAGAGACACTGGCAGAGATGAGGACTCTCTGTAATAACTCAGACCACAGAACAAAATTTAAACTGAAATAAATGTATGTCTGGAAGTCTCAAAAATAAAAATATTAAATATTTTTTGTTGCTTAAATAACTCAAGCTCCCATCTTTGTTTGTTTGTTCTAATGTAGTCCAGACTGGTTGGAACTTGCTATGAAGTCAAGGAAGGACTGAAATTCCTAATTCTCCTGCTTCTACCTCCCACATCTGGCCTCCACCTCCCATACCTGGCTGCTTCCTGTCTAGCTGTACAAACTTAGCTGTTCTCTATCTCTTGCTCTCACTTCTTTTAAATTTAAAACAAAAATTGTAAATGATTTATGTGGGCTCACATGCTGTAAAAACACATGTGGGGGTAAAAAGATACCTTTGTGGAATTGGCTCTCTCCTTCCACTTTTACATGGGATTCTGGGTAACCAATTCAGGTTGTCTGAATTGTACAGAGAGGTAGCAATCCCTGAGCCATTTTGTCTTTTTTCATTTTTAAATTTCTGTGTGTGTGCGAATGTTGGTGGTGATAATATATACATGTGTGTTTGTGCTTGTTAGTGAGGACACACTTGCGTGGGTCAGTTTGGAGGTCAGAAGTTGATGTCCAGTGTCTTCCCCACTACTGTCCACACAGGCAGGGACTCTCAGACTCATTGGTTAGTCTAGGTAGCCAACTCAC